TATCCGAAAACGGGCCTTCGGCCCGTTTGAGTGACGGCTCGCTTCGAACCATCTTTTTGCCAGGTACCTTTTCTGTCTACTTCGTAATTAAAACTCAACAAACGAAGTATTCTTTTCGTACGCTGAACATCTTTGGTTGTTCGCAGTTTGTAGAATACATGCAAGTTATGCCAAAATTTTAAGTTATTAATGTTAGCTTATGAATCCAATAACAGACCTATGAAAAGGTACATAAGACTAGACCTAGAAGTTAAATATACTTCCAGGCATACTCTGAATGACACCAAACGTGTTCAAACAACAAAAAAATAAATGTTTTTTTTTTGTGGATTTTTTGCATGAAAGTGTACACGTTTTATTAATGATGTGCCACCATAAAATAAGCCCACTCTTCTGCTTAGAAGAAAATTTTGAACCGGCCGCATACTTCTCAGACAGAAGTGTACTTCTGAAAAAATAAAAATATTTCTGTTTTGGCCATTTTGGTGAGAGAAACTCCCTCTATCGCCTAAACGGTGAGAGATGGAGCCAAATGGACGAAATTTTAGCCCGAAGGGCTTCACTTTCCCAAGTTACCCCTTAGAAAACCATCACATATTTTCTAAACTTAATATATCGTTTTTGGGCCACCCTTGTCAGAAAAACTCCCTCTAGCGCCTAAACGGTGAGAAATAGAGCCAAATGGACGAAATTTTAGCCCAGAGGGCTTCACTTTCCCAAGTTACCCCTCAGTAAACCAACAAGTATTTTCTAAGCTTAATATATTGTTTTTGGGCCACTTTTGTCAGAAAAACTCCCTCTAGCACCTAAACGGTGAGAGATAGAGCCAAACGGACGAAATTTTCGCCCAATGGGCTCTACTTTCACGAGTTACCCCTTAGGAGACAATAAAAAAAAAAAAATTCCCACTTCTTGGACCAACCCCTATTTCTTTGTTACCCCCTCAGACCCACTCAGGGGTGGTTGGCAGGATTTGCACCAACCGTTTCGTTGTCCAGAAGTGACAACAATAATACCCTGAAAATTTCAGACCTCTAGCTCACGTCCTTCTTGGGGAACGGACAGACGGACAGACAGACAGACAGACAGACAGACAGACAGACAGACAGACAGACACAGAGGCGATGGCATAAGCCCGCTTTTATAGCTTTTAAGCAAAAGAGCGGGCTAAAAAGACAGATCGAATTCGAAGATGAGCACTCTACCTCAACAATTCACTTTTAAAAAAAAATCATAAACCACAGGTTTCAAAATGTATTTTTTTCAAATATTTTTTTACGGGTTCCTATAGGGTAACTCTGTTTGGGTGCTAGGGGGCATTTCTTGACGAAAATAAGATGTAAATGACCAAATGGCCTATAAAATCGTTAAATAGGCTCCACATGAAAAAATTGTAAGGGAAGTAATAGTTTCACCACACATTTGGTGTCAGCGCCTCAGGCCTAGCTATATGTGCGCCAGGCGCGTCGCAGTGTAACAGTGTTTCGTGAGATATCGCGAAGCCTGTTACGCGAGACGTGGTAGCTGGTACTCAATAGTTGTACACCTAAAAAAATGTGTTCTCAATTCAAGATGATCCCCAAAATTTTAAGGCAAATGTTGTTATTTTAACCCCTATTTACACTTACATTAAGTAAACAGGGATTAAATTAATCCCTATTTGCCTTAAAATTTTGGGTATCATCTTGAATTGAGAACCCATTTTTTGGGGTGTAAATTTCTTACTTCATGCCGTGACTGTCCCTAGGTCGAGGAGGTCTCCTGGCTCCACCCGGTGAGCCCCGCCAGCGACGAGCACTACGTCGTGCCGCACGGGGTGCGCCCCGTCCCCGCGGCCCTGTCGCCCTACGGCGCGCCCCCCGCCGGGCCTCGGGGCGGC